GTGCCTGGAGCCGGCCCTGACTTCTACAAAAAGGTTACAAAAATATGGAAACCCTGAAACTATGCCATTCACTTAAATAGTAAAGGAACTAAGGTTTCAACAGAAGGAAAAAGTGTTCTTTGAAATAAATGAAGGGGTAAATAAATGGCGTTTCTCAAGGAGTTAAAGTGTATATTGTAAAGCTGTCAGCTCTTGAAATAATCTTTGTAACTGCAGATGATACATTATTAAACATTAGGAGTACTCCGCCTGTATCAAAAGAAAGCACAAGGCAGCTCAGAAATCCCTAAATCCTTTAGATTTTACTATAAATACAACATATAGTAAATATCGGTGAAAGCCAACATAGCTAAGAGTCTGTATCCAATTAGCTTATCTGCCTTGCTTTCCACACCATTAATCTTCTTACTTAGCAGCAGATCATGGTGTTCAATTACCTGAAGTGCTTTTAGTGTGTTCAATAGATGATAAAAATAACTAAATATCGATAGTACATAAAAAATAACCAAATATTGGAGCAGGTTAATCACCTATCCAGAGTCAGTGATATGTAAGAGCAGGAGGTGAACAAGTAGCCCCATTTGTACCAGTGTATCAGGTTCATGATGACCCGATTACTGTTTATGAAATGGTAACATATAGAGTTTTTTTTCCCAAACATTTATTCCATTAGTCACAGCCTAAACCAATATAACATTCATTATTCAGAGATGTCAATAGTTACTAACAGGTTCCCAAAGGCATTTTCCTCATAGTATCTATTGCATTCATTTCTCATGCATTTTAATTATAAATTAAAAGCAGCGCAAATATTATAATCAAAAAGAGCTAAAACACTGCTACTTACTGAAACCTTTTAAAAAGAAAAGCATGTAAGTCTGCAGAAATGCTTCACAGAGTGCCTGTTTTTCCCTTTAATGAATGTAACATGTTTTAATTGTATTATATTACAGATGGTAAAAACCTACAAGAAAAAAAAATCAAAATAGACCCTTAAAAAAAGTAAAAAAAAAAAAAAAAAAATAAGAGGACTTCAGTTTCATAATGAGGTACCAGGAGTTCTGCAAGAGGTTCAGTCTCTAGGTGTGATTCTGATGTAGCAATCCATTAAGATTTATACAAACCCCAATTTAATCCACTAAAAGAACAAATAGTCTTCTTTAGCTGATTCATGTTCTTATATTTTTTTCCTCCTTAAAATTTCTCTGTTAGACAAATAGAAAAAAGAATATGTGGCCAGAATCTCAGATGCAAAAGATAAAGCTATAATCCAGATTGTATAATTAATCCAGTGAAAATGGTTTATATATTTATAATTTAATTGTTGAAATTTACCATATGTAAGAGTTAATGTGGTCTGAAGCCTCTGCTAGAAGTATTTGGCTTTTTTTGGAGTAAGGGGGAGGGAAAGTCATCTGACTTGTTAAACCAGAAAATGCATGTTAATAAAGAGGGCACTTCTAAATTTCCACTTCATTGAAAATCTGAGAACCGTGGCTCCCATCCCACAATGAGAGTCACATAAATGGACTTCTGAGCACATATGACTGATGGGGCTCCACATGGGCACAGGGGTCTGACTAGATGGGTCTCACTGCAGGATCAAAGCCTGTATATTGATTGATGAACATTACTATTATTTGTATTATGGTTGCACCTAGAGGCCCCAACTATGATCATGGCCCATTGTACTAGCCACTGTAGAAACATATAGTAGGAGACAGACCCTGCCCCAAATACTTTACATGAGTGTTCATCTATATAAAATTTATTTTTTCAATATTTTGATCTAGTATCTTAAAAATATATATTTCCTTTATGGAAACATCCTGAAGAATTTAATAGGGACTAAATCAATGAGGTTCTAAAGGTGTCTAATATGGTTATATGGAAATTGCTGAATTTATTTAATTTTTTAGAGAATGATATCCTTTTTATAGGGTTTTTTAAGTCATCCTATATAATTTATAATATGGATATAATTTTCTTTTAAAATCTATTAGGTCCAAACACCAATTTAAAAATCACCATCTATTAAAATCTGTAGTACTGTCTCAAAAATCTTCATCTGTTCAAAATTATCACCAAAAGCTTTTCTATAAAATAGTACTGGTTGGGATTTCTTTGGAAATATTTTTACCTTTCTTTATTAATCTGAAATATGCAGCTCTCTTTAGCTGAAAGGCATAAACTTGCTAAAAATGAGCACCAAGTTCAAAGGACACCTTACACTCTTTAATGTCACTTGTTAGATGAATGCATCAGGATTGCAGAGGGAATTAATTCTGGAGAACTCATGTAATCCACTGTGTAGAAGGTGCAGCACTAGGATGATTGGCCAATTAACCTTTTTCATTTCCCAGTTAGACTCTAAATGCCTTTATGACTAAACTCGACTGTAAATGCAAAATTATAAATTAATGTTAAATACTCCGGGTGTAATATAAAACATAGGACATTGCTTTGCCCCAGCCAGGAGACAGGCACTATTCCTCCATATACATTTATGTAGAAACTTAAAGTCTCTGCATAATTTTTAACGATTAAGCTAGAAGTCACTTATTCTAGGATATAAAACAAAAGTAATAATGGCAAGAAAAGCAGCCACTGGAACAGCCTGTCCATGTAGGGAGTTGCTTCAAGGCATTAACCAGAACTAAACCCTGATTAAATGTCTAATTGGCTTGAACAGTAGTGGCAAGAAAAGCCATGGGCTGTCCCTATTGACAGTAAAAGAGCAGCAGAGGTATCAAAACAGTCTCATGGGCAAGATGTTTAATAAACTGAAAGCAAGATTCACCAAAGTGAAGCAAAAACCAGAGGAGGAAAAGTCCAAGGATGAAGAGGCCCCTCCTAACCCACCACCCCAACAGCCGCCACCCACAGGGCAGGTAGAGTATTTAATCTTACACAGATCCATTAATATTATGTCTGTGCTTGGAAATCACTGATTTAATTAGATGTAGCAATAACCAAAACTTAGATTTTCCCAGAAGCTTACTGTATTGAATATCCTCATCTGTGCTAAATGACAGCTGCCTTTTGGTTTGCTCCTTGTTTTCCTTATATTGTCTTTACACTGTCACTCACCCTGGTGTAGTTGCTTTACAAACGGGCCTATCCTGAATGATTACTGGGCCATATACGGTCTTGGAAAGACAAAGTAACTTAGTAACATTCTTCATATATCATTTGGCTATGTCTTACAAAAATAGTTCCAGTTGAAATCTATAGAAAAGCTACCTTTTCGTTCCATTATAAAGAATAAATATTGGTTTAAAGTATTAACTCACTTGTGCACTGTACATTAATGGAAAATTTAAAAACTGAAGGCTATCTAAGGCCAAAAAGCATTCATTTACTTGGCTTTTTTAAATGAGAATTTTTAGTATCCAGAATTTGCTGTAACCTGCCATAACTCATAATTTCACAGGGCAAGTCATTGGGATATTGGTAACCAAAGCAAAATAAATTGTTTACAATCAGTCCAGTGCCTTTAATCTTAATTGCTGCTTTGGGAGCAAAGGAAATTCTTCCTTTATTACTTTAATTAAATGACTGTTTAACATCAAGAATCCTGTTCAGGGAACTCATTTTCTCCCACAAATAAAAACGTCTGCCCAAGTATACCAAACACTGGCAAACCACAATATTATTTATCACTCTAGGATGTGCAGTGTCACCTCCACAAGGTCACAACCTGAGTGTTGAGAGCCAGCACTAGGCATAAGCGGATTAATCAATTGCTTAGGGCCCTGAGCAGCTCATGGGGGGCCCCCTATTCACTTCTTTAGTATGTGTTGGGCGGAGGGAAATATTCTGGCTTAGGGCCCCCAATCGGCTAGCACCACCTCTGCCAGTGTTAACCATCCCTATGACATCCCTTCTGGTAGCACTGCTATAGGGGACGCACCTGCTAACAACTTCATAGTTTTGACTAAAATGGACGCTAACTGGAATGTTCAAAGATGGAAGGATATCCGGAAAATGAGGTTCATTTATTTAAAGTTCTTGAAATTGTACCCAAATGGCAAATTTTGATCAGCCCAACCTGTATTTTATCTTGACCTCCAATCAACACAAGCATGTTAAGAAGTGGAATAATTTTCTGTTTCAGGGATGCACAACAGACCTGGGCCCTAATTGATGTAACATGCTAAAAATACATATTCAGAGAGCTCTGCATATGTTCTGCACTTGTGCTCATATATCCCCCAAATGGGATGTGTTTGATCAAAAGTGGCAAGATACAGCATAGCCAAGGCCATGTGTACACCACTTAAACGGGGTATAAATTGTAAGACAAGAGTCCTGAATTCTGTGGCACTCTGATTTGGTACACAGGATATTCTGCAGCCCATCTGCCTTAGACTCCCCAGCCCTCAAGTATCTTGTCTCATCTTCAGGATTGATGAGGCAGCCTGCTCCTCTATTCTGGCATTTGGTTTCCTCTTGGGGTCGGGTAGTAGTCCACCTCTCTGGAAGTCCTCTTTTGGCAACAGATGTGCCGCCAGTGCCACATTACGTAAGCTCTCCACTTTGATCCACTGATTTTCTACTGTTCAGTTACAAAAGGCCCTACAGAACCTAAATTGTAGAGTGTATCACATATTGCAAAGTCTCTTAGATATTCCTTCCTCTGATCCCACAGGAACTGCTTATCTGGTAGGAATACATACCAATTCATATACTATTTGGATAGGCAATACACTATAGGAATTTTATATCAAAATGTAGAGGTGCATCCATCACTATTATTATCCTGATAACTCAATTATTTTATATCCTGCTGGGAGAGTGGTCATGCCGAGTTATATGTATTACCAGCAGCTGTGGATAATAATGTCCTGTATTTTATACTGAGATTTGCCCGAGGGATTGTTTTTTGTGTCCCCCCAGCCCCAAGCTGATTTTGCTTTCAGGAGCGGTGCTACTGTACCTTTAATTGACCTGAAGAATGGACAAACAAGGTTGTTTGTGTTGTGCCTTCATTTTTCTATTTCTGATATTGGTAGCCACTAGATTTCTTATAAACAGGTCTGAAAAGTTTCTTCTGACTGATACTTACCTGGGGAAAGGTTTGCACTGCAGGAAGGCGCTGATGCTGTTTCCAGCAATACAGGTCAGGCTGATTTCTCTAAAGATAGAGCAGGCAGCCTTACCCTGCTCTGGGGTTGATAGGAGGAGGAGCTAGAGGGAAAATTCCAGAGTCCACACCAAACAAAGAGGGAGTTATTTAAAAAAAAAGTAATGAGAAATTGTAAAATGCTCATGGTGAGAGAACTAGTCTATACATACTAAGAGTGAGTACTAAGAAGGAAAGCACCCAGTTACTGCCTTTCTACACTTAGGACTACCTACAGAAAATGAAGGTGTGTATATAGCAAATGTGTGAGTTTGAACATTGCCCATGTGTTTTTTGTTTTACTTTCTGCTCTTCTGTTTACTCACATCAATTATATCACTTTTCATACAAGAAACTGAGTTTCCTCATAATCTGGCATATTACAACTGGCACATCTGTTCTTAGTATAAATCTTTTTTTCTATCTACACAGTTAAATGGCCTCTCATAAAGAGGACCCACCTGGAGCACCCTCCTTCAACAAGACACACCATGTGCATCTGTCTCAGTTTCCCCAGAGTCCAACCATAAAAAGAGCACAGCCTCTTTCACTGTTCGATACAAAGGCCCATCTCTGAGCATAGTTTATTCATTTACACACACAATAGTCTGTACAAATAAAGGTACAGAAGTCTTCAATTCCTCTGTCCAGGGACATCACTTCCAGGTCACTCACCCATGAGACCACCAGCACTCAATTCCCAATTCCTTCCCACCCTTGTTCCAGGGACCCTCCACTTGCCAAGCCACCCATCTGAGAGTACCCAGTCTCATGACTCTTCTGCTCAAAACACAGTCCAAAGACTCAGCCCTTTTCAGCCACCCTGAGTGGACTCACTAGCTTAGGAAGGTCAGCAAGCTTGCCCTTCTGTTGGCCTCCTAGCCTTGCCCTTTTCAGCTATCCTACACTGGCTCCCTAGCTCTGGAAGGTCAGCAGGCCAGCCCCTCCACCAGCCGTCAATTCCTCCCTCTTCCCAGGGCGGGCCTGCAAAGTTTTCTGCTCTCTACAGACTGTCTCTCCCCAGCAGCCCTCAACTGCCATTTTCCTTGTTCCTCCAGTCTGTGCTCTCAGCTAATTAACTCTCCAGATCTCTGTCCCCTCTCAGGCCCACGTGCCCTCTTTTAAGCCTAACTGGGAGGCAGATGATGAGTCACAGGTGAACTGGACCTCACTGCCTCTTCTTAAAGGGCCGGTGTCACCCTGTGACACAGCCCTTATCACCAATGACCCAAAATTACTCTATACACACAACCAGTCCTACACACAGGCCAAGTATCTTCTGATGTGTCCACACTTCTGCCTAGTACTATCCATAACCTGGACTTCCAACTCCATCTGGAAAGATGGATTGAGTGATCCAGGTTGCAAGGTGATAGATGAATAAAAGACCAAAGCATACTGTTCATGCAAACTCTATAAAGGAAAACCATGTAAAAGGTAAAAGAAGATGGAATGTGTGAATAATATTTGTGTAACATTTTACATCTTCAGAGCATTGCACAAGTATTAACTAACATGACTGTATTCGGGGCTCACATGAGCAAAAGCCTGAAACAGAATAAACAACCTGTACAGCAAAAGACTGTATAGCTAAACTTAGCAACTGAGAAGCAAACAAAATATTCCCAGGTTCTGCTATACACCCACACTACCCTGAGAATGCACAGATTCTCTAGAATTGCAATTGTACATGTTTGTTTGTTTCCCAAGATCTCAGAATCAAACTCTCAGAATACAAAGATCCTGTGATCAAAGTTAGGGAAGAACAAACACTCGGAGTAAATTAAGAACCAATCCAACCTTTCATCGAAAACTCAAAACAAACCCAAAATTAATGTAAAAAGTTGTTAACTTTTTCAAAACAAAACAAAACCTTTTCATTTTCATATGCCCTGTGGTGCCTAGCTTTTTGTTCCCCCCTCTTGCCTCCCTCCTCCCAAAAAATGCCCAAGCCCTTACCTATAGCCATTTTAAGTTCTACTCTCTTGCTCATCCAAATTTAGTATTTTTTGATGATCAAGTAAAATATCAGTAATTTTTTCATCATCAATCACTGTGATAAATAGCGAACAAGTCAGCTTTGTGCCTGGGATGGTAAACATTTGTGATGTCTTGCAAGGAAACTTAATGATTCATATTTTAAAAAATGGATGAGGGCAGGAATCATTGGGCAGCCACCAACTTTCCCTACTGCAGGAGAATAGCCCAACATAGTTAATGAAGATACTTCCTGTTAACTGAATAATAACTGTGTCCTTGGACAAACACTTCAGTGTTAAATATATTTATCCCAGGATACAATCTATTTTATATGGTCCCTGTCACCAAAATATCTGAGTGCCTCACAGTCTTTAATGTGTTTATCCTCACAACACCTCTGTGAAGTAGGGAAGTACTAGTATCCCCATTTTGCAGAGGGGAAACTGAGGCAGACAGACAGACTGTGGACATGTCTATACTAGAGCTGGAAGGTGCAATTTCTGATTGAGCTATTGTGCTAGAAATAGAAGTGCAGCTGCACAAGCAGCCCCAAGTACACACCTGTAGTTTCAGATAGGATTGTACTTGGGGTGGCTAGCCACATCCCCACCACATCTATATTTATCATGTTAGATTGATTAGAACACATCTCCTCTAGCTGAAATTCACCCCTGACAATTTTAGTGCAGACATACCCTCAGTGACTTGCTCTAGTTCAGCTAAGAAATCTCTGGCAGAGAACTGAATTAAACCTGGATCTCCCTAGTCCTATAGTAGGGCCATAACCACGTGACCATTCTCTCTCTCTCTCTCTATATATATATATAATATACCTTCAAGTACGCATATAAATATATGTTCTAGTATTTGGGGGGGCTGTGTGTGTGTGAGATACATATATATATCCATACATCATGCATACATCAGCAGTGAAAAGAAATATTATAAGAGTAAAGATTGTTAAAAGAGACAAATGCAGTTAAGTAATGAATTTTCACACTTTATGCCTGAACCATATTTTTTCCTAAAATACATCTTAAATTCTTCTGTTTGCTTCCGTAAGGGTGAAAATAAAAACAAAAATGAGCCACAGAAAGGCGAGACTGCTAATACTGCACAACCAGAACCAAAGCAACAAGGTCAGTAACATTCCATTTACCTGAACCAGAACTGTACCTGAACAATATTCAGATAGTATAGAGCAGCAGACAACGTGCATTTGAGTATCAAAGTTCCTCTGAAAAATCGAGTGTTTTCCCCACAGGGTCCCCAGTTCTGCCAGGTGCTGATCTCCTCCTGTGAGGGGTTAAGCCTCTTCAATTCCCATTGACCTCAAACTGGTAACAATCCATTACAAAATTCTATTCTTTACTGACACTGTCTTCTCTTTCCTTTCCTTTTATCTCACTGGCCTTTCAGATTTTGGCAGCTATTCCTCCACTCCAATCCCCTTGTGTTCTTAGCCCCCATTTTTCTTCCTTTATGCCCCATCTTTAGATGATCTCCGCTATTCGTATGGATTTAATAAATACCTCTACAGTGATGATTCACATATACCTCATCACTCCAGATCTCTCTCCTTGGCTTCAGCCTCATTCCTTTTATGCACAATGTAGCTTCATTTTAAAGCATTTGTGTTTCTCAACTTGAGAAGGAGTTCTGCATATCCCTTAAATGTACTTATGGTCATGTTTCATTTAAAAACTAATCTAATGGCACAATAGGTAGATATCATTTCCCGTTCTGAATTCAAATCACGTGTTGAGCTCACACAAAAATCAAGTTAGTGGTGTGCATAGTGGATATTTATCCATATCACAGACCCACCTCACAGTCTGGTATTATTGGCAGACTCTATTCAAAAGATGTCCAGGACTGTAACGTATGAGCATAAAGCCAGAAAGGATTGAGGATCACTGGAAGAACAGAATATGGAACGATGCAAAATCCCTATTTGCATTTTGTGTAATTTTAAACAGCGTTACTAATTCCTTCTGTGGAGGAACAGAACAGGGGGGCCTCCTTTCCGAGAGCACCACCTCTGCGGAAACCACCGAGCATCCCTCTACACCCACCTCTCGGAAGTTGAGAAAGTAGGCAAGGGGAGGAGGGAGGACTGACCCCAACCCCAACACCCTAGCTCGTGATCAGCTCGTGATCGCCCCAACCCCAGCTTGTAATTTGTTTCCGAGCTCGTGTTCACCCCATGCCCTGCTTATGATTGGTCCCTAATTTCTTAACTCATGACGTATTGTTTGTACCTTGCTTGTGGTTTAATGAAATAAAAAGCCCGTGCGTGTAGGGCTCGGGGTGCTAGCTTTCGAGCTGCACCCCAGTGCGCACTGGTTTGTATGTCAATAAACTGGCCTCAGGCTCTGAGTCTGTGAACTAAAATCACTGCGTGGATGATTCTTTCCACAACAATTCTTTTCATGACAATTTTTTTTTTAATTTGAAGGAAAAAACAATCGAGTCATTCCATGCTCTCATTCTGCTCTGAAATAGCTGTAGAACTAAGCCATGAATTAATAAACAAAATCTGACATACATTGACCGTAGCAGTAAGCAACAATTGTAAAACAAAATCTAACATGTTATGTGGCTCTTTAGCAACATTAAATCACCGATGCTATTCCATGAAAAAATGAAATATTGATCCAGGCAAATGCCTCTTTTGCCATCCAAAAGCTGATCTTATTTTTGCAGATGAATTTATGCAAGACCCTATTCATTACAGTACTGAGTTACCATTTCCCTGTCAAAAATAAATAAAGGGATAGCATAGAAGGGAACTACAACATAAAATGCATTTTATCCATGTTGCTATAGCTCAGCAGTGCAACTATATCTTCATCCAATGTGTTCACATTCAGCTGCTCCCCTCCTCCCCCCACTCCCCCATAATGTTCTGGAGGATGCTTAAGGACAAATTTTCAGCCAGCCTCAAGTCATGTTTTAGTTTTGCAAATGCATATTTTTACCCCAGACAGGTACTCTAGTTGTGCAATCCTTGATATATACACCAAATAGGGATTGTGTGTGTGTCATGAACTCATGACTGTACATAGATAGAAAACCTGGGCAATTCAGTACCACAAGCATATGCCCCTACCACGTAAAGTACAGGAGTAGCTCCATTAGTTGTAAGTAGTAGACTGCTATAAGACCTGATCCAATGCCCACTGAAGTCAATGGAAAGGCTCCTATTAACTCTAACAGGATTTGGGACAGGTCCATAGTCACTGGGAACAGCTGTTGGACAGAGTAGAAAGTCTAGAAAGTCTGTGGGAAGCATGTAATGACAGGATAGATGCTTGGCACTTTACAGTTGTCTGTACTGAATATTTAGATACTCATGGGGAGTTATGATTACCATGATAGGGCTAGGGTTACACCCAGCTCAACAGATCTAAAAGTTAAAGGTTAAGCAGAGAAAACAGTATCTGGGATTTCTGATTTGTACACAGGGTTTCTGGTACAATCAAAATAAAATAGATAAGCAAAGTCTCTGGCCACATTCCCTTCATGCAACTGAATAGCCTTTAAACACAAATTTGACTGGGCTCTGGAGACTCAGCATGGCTGCAGGCAAGTCACATGGACCTCTCCTGCATCTATTGGCACATCCTCCTGCAGCCAGGACCAGCCACCATCTCCTCCCTGCCTTCTGGTGCCTTCTGGGGCAGCGCAGTGTTGCAGCACAGCTGGGTACTCAGCAGGATACATATTTATAACCTTTTTCATTAGTACTTGGCTACTCACTTCACTCAAGAACACCTGGTATATTCAGCTTCCTCATTGACTATCCATTACCATATCCTAATCCCTTTGATTACCTTCTATATAACTCACTTGATCTGTAATTAATTCTCTGTATTTTTGATCCATAACCAATTCTCTTCCTGTTTGACTTGCTTTGTAATTAATTCTCTGCATAACTGATCTGCTCCATAACTGATTCATTCCTTAACTGATTCCCTACATCTGTTTATCTGCTTAACTGATTCCGAGTCACCTAATTGCAGATTCTCTGCATTATTGATTCATGTTGCTGTTGCTTTGCATATTTACTGCCTGCCATAACTGATTGACCATACTACTGCTTCACTGGTTCTTTGAACTATTATTCAATAGCACCTTTGATTGTTTCACAGCATAATTGATGACTAGTCTCTATCCGCTGGTCATTCTCTCCACTCAGATTCTGTTTCAGTTTCTTCCCTCCTCCCACACTTCTTCTCCATGTCTCCCACAAAACTATTTACAAACCTGTATGCCTCTCACTCACCTTCTCCCTCTCTTCTTCCAGTGACCTCTGCCCCAGCCCGGTTCCTACCTCCGTCTCTACTCTTCTCCTTCAACACCTTAATCCTGCTGACCCTTCCTCTCCTCTCACCTCATACCCATTCCCAAACTCTGACCTTCCCTCCTTCTCCTCCCATTGGAATACTTATTCTATATCTTAAAACATTACCTCCATCCACGACTTCTTAAGACTGGAAGGGACTTTATCGGTCCATTATGGGTCATCAGGTCCAGTCCCCTGCTATTGTAGGCTACCCCATCATATAATCCCATTAATAAATTTAGTCTACATATTAAAACTAGTTAGTTGTTTGCTTCCTACTCCTATTGCCAGGCTGTTCTAGAATCTCACTCTTCTGATGGCTAGGAACAGGGCTGGCCCTAAACTAAATGGCACCTCAGGTGAGGAGTGTCCTTGGCACCCCCTTGCCCCATTTGTTAAACGTTTGAATACCTTATTTTTATTGCATTTGTCCTTTTTTAGTCGCTACTTACACTCTTCAAGTCTTAAAACACAAGAACACTTTCACAATTACACAGTAAAATAAGATTCACAATATCGCAGCTGGGCTCTCACTTCACTTCACTTTGTTCTGATATCTCACTGACTGACTGGTGACACCCTGCCCCTTATTTGCCCGTGAGGGCATGGCTGACAACATTCTAGGAGGTTCAAAGAAAATGTAGTTCTCTGAAAGTCTGGAAGGTTCCACAAGATTCTACAAAGGTCCAGAACATTCTAGAAGATTAGTGAAAAATGAGTCCGCATATGGGATACCTGAAATATTTTACTTCAAACGTTGTATTTTCCCTTTTGTCACTAACAACAAAAACAGCACTTCAAGCCCAGCCTCCCCATCCCAACCCAGCACTGCAGTCAATCGCCTGGGTCGCCTGCCCCTAAATCCTGGCTAGGAACCTTCTAATTTCCAGACTAAATTTATTCAAGGCCAGTTCTTGTGCCAACATTGTTCTTTAGCTTAAATAGCTCTTGTCCCTCCCTGGTGTTTACTCCCCTCTGATGTATTCATACAGAGCAACATATCTCCTCTTATGCTTCATTTTGCTAGGCTAAACATGCCAAGCTCTTTTAGTCTCCTCTTGTAAGATGGACACTTCCATTCCCCTGATCATCCTAGTAGCTCTTCTCTGTACCTGTTCCAGTGTGAATTAATCTTTCTTGAACATGGGTGACTAGAATTGTACATAGTATTCCAGATGAGATCTTACTACAATCCTGTACAGTGGCATTACTACTTCCCTATCTCTACTGGAAATACCTTGCCTGATATCTCACCTGATACTGATGTGATTCTAATTGAGGTTCTTTTATGGATGCATTACACTGGTGGCTTATAGTATTCCTGTGATCAACTAATGCATGCGTTCTTTCTTCTCCTCTGTTGTTTCCTGCTGATGAGCCCCATACTTACGGGGGGAAATGGTGGGTTCCTAGGGATGTGTGGACACTCATAGGATCAACTCTGCCTGATTTACAATTATTCCTGGTCCTTGTGTGAAAGAACACAGTTGCACAGTTTAGACCCATATAGTCATAGTGCGACATTTCATTTTGAATCAGCTGTATATTACATTTTACTGGCTAATTCTAAAATGTCAACCTGCCTGCTTATATTTTTTTCTTTGGTGGGAAAAAAAAGCTGCATCACAAAAAACAAGTACAATAGGTGTTCCATGTTCATTATAAATGTACAAAAATGTGTTTTACCATCATACTGCTACAGACTTTTTTTTTTTAAATGAGCATTTTTAATCAACTTTGTTCTTATGCTTATGAAATCACGTCACCCCCAAGGACATCTTACTAAATATA